ATTTGCATTCATCTTTTTCTCTCTCTCTCTCTCTCTCTGTCTCTCTGTCTCTCTTTCTCTCTCACTCTTTTCTTTCTCCCTCTCTCTCTTTCCTTCCCCTTTCCTCTCACATCTCTATCAAATTTACATAGATCTTCTTTCCTCTTTCCAGTCTTTCTTTTTCTGTCTCCTCGCTGTAGCATTTCTTCTTCTCTGCACTGTGGTGAGTTCCCAGGTCATCAGGCTTTAATGACTTGTCCACTTCAGTTCAAAGTGTCATCATCACTTTCATTAAGCCGTGTCACTTCCACTTCTCCCCATCAATTCCCCTTCTCTCTTCTTCTTTCATTTTCTCCTCCTGCTGCTTTTTATCAAAGGGATGTCCCCGATTCTTTTCAAGTCTTTCCTTGTCTTTCCTTTCCTTTCCTTTTCACAGCAAGGGTCAGGAGTTGAATTAAAAACCTTTGGACACAAATTAGGAATATATACCTTAAAATTACTTGATTATTGCTCTTGAATTACACTGATGAGTTGAATTAAGTGATGGATCACACATCACTGTAGCAATAGCAACTGAACGTCCCATTTCAGACTTGATTATCATAATTATTGATGCATTAATGTGTATATCACTTTAATGATGCAGCTGGTGACGGTGCGGCTAATGTTAATCATTTTATATACCGCTGTGTAGCTCGTGAATTCACCCCTGGTGATCAGTGAAGTCTTATTTTAACCTACAATAATACATCATTATTTATCGATTTCTTGTACTTTGCGTTATTAATCTGAATCTGCAAAGTAACTGGTAACTAAATTATATTTTTTAAAAAGTAGCGGAATAAAAAGCATGAAGCAGAAAGTAGATGGGGAAAATGGAAATACTCAAGTAGTCTACTCAAGTACCTCAAAGTAGTACTTAAGCACAATACTTGAGCAAATCTACTTGTTGTGGTCACATACACTCTTTGTAGCAGTCTAGCTGCAATGTTTTGATATGGAGATGCCTACAAATGCTCCATTCATGACTTCCTGTTAATATTGTAAGGTTATCGCATTACCCACGCTGTGATGCTACAGTAGAAAAAGCAGTACTACCTAACAGTAAGGTTCATATACAGTACATATCACTATGTAGTCTAACACAGTGCTTTGTAGATCTTTAAGTCTTTCTCTTAACTACATCTCTTTCACATTATTAACCCTTTGTAGGAGTTTCTACATACAAATACTTGCTTTTGCCTCAGTATACCATGTTAAAATTTTTTTACAATGACAGTGCTTGGTATCTTTTTTTTTTTTTTTAGCACATCACCTGTACGACCTGACCTTTGACACACTGTATCAACATATTGGCCCAAAAAGACATACCAATGCTCATAAAATCTGATTCGGAAAATGATGTTTTATTTACTCAAACAGAAACACACACATGCTCATTGAAGCATTTTAAAGGTTTTAATGGTAAGCACAGGTTGGAAATGTGAATATGTAATGTTAAAATAGAGATAGTAAAATGTTATATCATGATAAATCAAGGTATATACCACTATTTACATCAAAAAGCAGGAGTAACCACAGGCATTTTATTTACTCTGTACTCTTATTAACAGAGTGTGAAGGGTTCCTGAAAAGTGCAAAGTAACATAAAAAAGGTACAATTTCGTTTCCTTCATTTCCCCCCAAAACCCTCCAACTCAGAATGCCACATGAACAGTTAAGCATGTGTTTGCCATCTTGCTTAGTCACCGGAGACAAGCTAACATTAGGTACAAAACAGACTATCCTACCTTATTACATAATAGCATTTTAAACTGCTAGCATCGCTCTTCCAGCAGCACCACAGCTGTTTTATTTAGCCTGTTGAGTCTATTTTATTTAATGTGCAGAACTAGAGCATCGAGCCAAAACATTGAGCACTTGTTGTAACTGACAGACGACAAAATGGAAGTGACTGGCGAGCAAGTGGAGCTGTGCAGCGAAGGTGTTTGTGCTTGTTTGTGGAGAAATGGCTCTTAATCATGAATACAATCGTAATCTGTGCGTTCAGTCTGAGTTTTGTAATGAATACACAGGAGATTGAGGAGAAACTGGCAGGCAGATGATGATGTGGACGATGATGATAACAGAGATTATGACGGACATGAATACGGTGGCCTCGACTCTCTGCTCTGCTGTTTTCCTGCTGTTTTCCCGCTGTAATCTTTCATGTCTTCATGTTCTTTAATCCCTTTAAATTTAAATTTCCGGCCTTCCTCGTTGCTCTCCCTCAGCCTCTGTAGCTTGTTCCCTCTTTCTCATTACTCTCTCTGGCTCTGTCATCCCAGCCCAGTTAAATATGCTCTTTTATTACTATTTTATTGGGTTTTATTATTCAGTGTGCCATTTATTCAATATGCACTTTTGCAGACACAATTCTTTAGAATAATATTACCAAAGGATCAGAGAACAAAACAATCACTGTAGCTTTTTCCGTACAGTGTTTCAATTAAATCAGGTTCATGTTTTATTTGCAGGATTTCCTTTTATTTTTTTCTGCTGATGGTTTATTGATGCCTGAAGTTTGTATCTATCTTTCCATTGCACTCCCTCCCTCACTGTGGGGGGGTCAGAGTGCAGGGTCAACTTTATCTATGGATGCCTTTTAATGATTGCAACTAAGTGCTTTGCAGAAAGCAAAGGACAGAAGCTGGTGTTCAGTAAACAACAGTGCAGCCTCTGGAGCTGTTTGTTGATGCTTGTTTGTCTTTTTAAATGATTATCTGACATAGTATTCACACAATTGTAAATGCATTATTCCTCCTGTTTGAGCTCCAGCAGAAGTCTCATCAGTCAGATATTCTTGTCTGCAGATAAATGCAGGAACACCTCATGGATCTGGAGCTGGAACAAAGTGATTGAAGGGTGGTCTGTCCATCTGATTTTACCCCAAATCAGTCACGTTTTTTAGTTTTTTTTTTTTAAATTGAAACAAATTAACAGAACAAGGTCCAAGAAAAGAGCCAGAGCTTGTGGAACCAAATGTCCATTTTGTGCCTTGCTCAAGAGCTCTCAGAGGGCAGTTCAGTCTCATGGTGGTCGTGCGTACCAGCAGTGTGACCAGGTGCACGACAGTTATTGTATTTGTACAATAATTCAAGTATTTGACTAATGTATGATCAATGATACTAAAAACGTGATGATAATTCAGTGTGTCATAGCGTCATAGTTTTTCGTGACAGTAAAAGGGTATAGAGCTGAATTGTCACCAGTAGACGTGGTGTGCACCATGTCACAGACCTTCAGCCCTCGCTGCCATTTGCAGGTTAAAAACAAAACCTTTGGTGCTTTACACTCTGGATTCTGAATGTTCGATGTCTTTTTGCAGTTATCTGGTTTTTGGGCATTTGGTAACGCTGCTCGGTGTCCATGTTGCATAGTCTCGTATAATGATGAATAATAAAACATAACATCACAGTAGTCTAAGTCGGCAAGAGTAATTACAGTTACACAGAAATAAGAAGCAAAATCCCTGAGTGTATTGAATTGAACTGGAGAAAATAATGTGTTATGACGTCCTTCAAAAGTCACATAAGCTGTGTTCCAATTCAGGCGCTGCATCCTTTTCGGAGGACGCGGTCCACGAAAGGTCTGGCCTTCATAGCTGTCATAAACCGCGAAGGGTGAACTGAAATAGCCTATGGATAATTTTCGCTTTGTGTCACCATGTGCAGTAAAGCAGGGCTCCTGTCACCTGGCAACCTTGATCACACATGACTTTTTTTCTTTTTTAACAAAAACATGAGGTTTCAAGACTCTTGGTTTTTTAACAGTTGCCCCATTAGCTGATGAACTGAGCTGAAACCCAGTACTCACATTTAAAGGTGGCTCTGTCATATTGTTTTCATTACTGGTGTGAAATCAATTTTGGGATAAATTGGGCCACGAAATGTCTACCTGTCAGAGCCTTCACTGCCTGAGAAAAGAAAAGTACATTTTTCGGTTGCGTTTGAAGGAGCCTTCGAAATCGGGACAGCGTAGTCGCGCCACAGTGATGCAATCAGTCTTCAAATGCAGCCTCCAAAGATGCGGCTCTTGAGGGACAAGCTTTAGTCTCCCTATAACACACACTGAATGCATTGAACAGACAGTAAGGTATGGTAGCCCTGTGTTAACTCACATTGGTGCTGGAAGAAAGAACGCTTGTTTGTAGGTGTACATAGAAAACAAATGGCACGGTTGTTTTTGATGTGCATCACACACCACCAGTGTGTGTTGCCCTTAGGGGCTCAAACCTGGGACCATCTGGCTACCAGACATAACTTTAAGCACTTAATTGAAGTACGGTGTGTGTAGAAATATTTCCAAATAATTATTTCTCTCAAAACTTTAATGTGTTTATAACTGTACCAAAGTAGTGATATCATTTATAGTTGCGTATCGGTGGGGGAAATACAAAAACTGCTTACATGCATATTTCTTACTTTCTTTAGTTCAGGGTCAATTAATCACAAAACCTCTTATTACGAATCTTGAGTTATTTTTTAAAGTAAAAAAAATGTTTTTAAAATGTGACATTTTTTTCTAAATAGTGTTGGAATAAAAGGCAGAATTAGTTTGACAAGTGCTTCACGTTGGGTTTCATTCTTACATCAATAAATCATTGCACTGGATTAGTCTGAGGACAGTTTAATTACAGTAAACTAATGAGTGTATTGTGGATGAGATTATCAGCCTTTCACTGCACAGTTAGACTCACATTTAAAATCTGCTGGATTGTTCTGCTGCACAAATGTAAATATATTCACCCTCCGATACTAAAACTTGTTCCATTTCCACATTTCTAACTGCATAGTTTCACGTTATCTTATCTTGTCAGACTGGATATCAGTTGTCATTGGCTCTTATCTTTCCTCTTGCCCTTCAACACAAACATAGAGAGCGGGAGGAACGATAAGTGTTGTTACCCTATGCGGTCAGAAAAAAATTCAAAACATTGCCACAGCTTAATTAAACAAACTCTTTATCCTCCTTCTCTACAGACAAAGACAAGCCCTCAGACTCTGATGAAGACTCAATGGGTGTTAACACCGGAGGGCCTGGTGGGGTGGGAGGAGCCCCGGGCTCTGGCGCCCTGCGGCCCAACTCCCAGTCAGCCTTCCTGGGCCCTCTGCTGTGGGAGAGGACCTTGCCGTGTGATGGAGGCCTGTTCCAGCTGCAGTACATGGACCTGGAGGAGTTCTTGACCGAGAACGGGATGGGCATGCATACCAACGGACCCAGCTCCACAAGCGCCCAGATCCCCTCCCAGGTAAAGCTGACGAAGACCAAAAGCTTCACAAACTTTACTTCAACCTGCAAGAACAAGATTTATTTTATTTTACAAGGTACAACTAGAGTATAAAGCTAAACAAGGAACACAGTTAAAAGCAAAAGACATTGCTCCTACTGGATGAGCACTAAATACTGACACATATTTGAATACACATATATTGTATTTACCCCCAAAATAGTCCCACTATACAGTTCAAAGGCATGTCAAGATTATTGGCAGCAAAATATGAGCGAATCTGCTTGCAAGCCAGTGAGTGACATTGGTTTGTTTAGCCTTCAGGGCCACAAACGTCCATCCAAATGTGACCTGTTTTCTGTCCTCAAAGTTGTGCAGCAACAGTTGACAGACTTTGCACAAATTTATATTCAGTAAAATAAAAGATAAAAATCTCACAGTGAGCAGCTGAAAACCACTGGTTAGATAGAGAAAACCAATCATTAGCTTGTTAGGTCCCAGACTAGCTAGTTAGCTTGCTTGTTAGCGGGTTAGCATACTAGCTTAATTGCTCGCAAGCTAGTTAGCTTGCTACTTAGCACTTAGCTTACTAACTAGCTTGTAAACTAGTTAGCTTGCTCATTAGCAGGTTAATTTACTATCTTGCTCTTAAGCTAGTTAGCTTGGTTGCTAGAAAGTCAGCTCGTAAGATAGTTGGCTTGCTTTTTAGCAGGTTAGCTTACTATCTTGCTTGTACGCTAGTTAGCTTGCTTTCTAGCATGTTCATTACCCTGTGTTTATATCATACAGACTGTAATCACAAGCAGTAGAATGGGAAAATAGTTCACACCAATCTTGTCGTTGCATTTCTCAGAATTTCTTACGGCAATGGTAGCTCCCTCTCGACAAAAAGAAAGACAGATGTGTCACCAGACTGACGGCATAATGACTGAAAATCTAACATCACAGGTAGTCAAACAAAATCCAGCTGTAGTATTCATGCCATGTCTTCTCAGAGCACTAAGGGTCAATAACAGTTTGCCCATCATTTCAAAACAGAAAACCATTGTCTTCACTTGGCATCGCTCAAAATGTCAACAAGAAGCCCTGTTGTCTGGGCCAAAGATGACATTTTCTCTCTTAAGTTGAGATCTGTAATCTCTTATGGGTGGAGAGGTGGCCATGTCCAACACCTGAATTTAATTTGAGTAAATTGGATGAATCCATAGCAGCTCGGTTAGTAGGGTTTTTATGCAGCTCTCTGTTCTCCATGTTGTGATTTAGACTAATGACACAGTTCACAGACTTTTGAAGAAGAGGTTTTATTTTCATTTTTCTGGTTTCTCCTCCCAGAGTTCCCAGTCAGCGGTCCCCAACCAGAGCTCCCAGTGCCCTCCCACCTCTCCTCCACCCTGCTCCTCCTCTTCCTCCTCCATGTCCTCTTCATCCTCCTCTTCCTCACTGCTGGGACTGGAGACTGTTCAGCCACAGCCACCACCACCACCTCAACAGCAGCAAAGCATGATGGGAGGACCTGAGTGTCTACATGGTGAGTGATTGTAGATTTTCAAAACATCACAGCAGTGAGCTCAGAGGAATCTGGGGGCACAGTCAGCCAGTCCCTTTTTAATTGAATTTGACGAGTTAATACATTGTTCACTGGTTATTTACTTCATCAGTGAGTCCAAAGACTATCAAACAGGAGGAGGTTGTAAGAGGAAATGGTTTGGTATCTTTAAAATCTTAAAAATGAATAGAAAATAAACAACTTCCTTGTTAGAAATGAAAAATCTTTTCTTCCTGTAGCTCACAACAGCGAGATTAAAACTAAGGTCACGAGAGAAGGAGACAGTTCTGCGGCAGCTAATGCAGTCAGACACGTATGAAGCTGCAATATGCAAAAGCCTCAATGTGATCTGGCAGTAATGAGGACACAGATCTGATACATTAAACCCAGTTCAACCGTTCGACTCCTTCAATAATAACCAGAGTAGGATTGTCTCTAATTATATCCCCGTGTGATAAATGGCTGACGCGCTGTTCTTAGGCCCTCCACGGTTCTATCCACCAGCCTGTTTTCACTCGTCATATATTCATAATTTATTGTTTCCTCTCTCTGCTGCCTTTGATATGAACCAGAGCTGCCACAACATCAGAAGTGCCTTTCTAGCTGTCCGTCTGTCTGTCTTTGTCTTATTTATTATTTTTTTCTCTTTTGGAGATTTCACAAGTCTGACAACTTCCAATTCCGACTAATTGAAACCACAGAGCCATTCTTGATAATGCTGACGGTCGTGTTTTTTGATTCCTGTGAACCACTGAGTGAATAACCACAACTAATTTCATGATGATTTATTGAAGACAGACTGCCACGTCTCTGTAAATGTTAATTGATTGCACAGACATTTAAAGGAAGGATAAAACAATATGTGGACGAGTGCGTGAAGTAGACGATTGGCGACCAAACTTTTTTTTTGTGTGGTCTGTGTTTGAGTTGTTTTAACTGTTTAAACTTATTTTGGGAATTTTATCTTGACATGAAAGTTTTACTGAATTGAATCAACTGAGAGAGACTTGTTTGATCATATTTTATATATTCAAGTGAAGGCAGAGCTGTGTGAGTGTGTGTGTACGTAAAAATAGGTACCTATCTGTAAAGCTGCAGCCAATCATGATACAGTTAGGCTTTAAGTGAGTTTTCTGGAGACAAGTACTTGATTAAGGATAAACTCAGTGGGGCTGACTCTTTACAAAAAGTCAAGTTTGAAGGAATTTGAACTGGTGCATAATTTATTCACACTAATTTGAAGTAAATGGGCAAAGCTAAAAGTAAATTGAAGAGTGACCACTGCTGGACACAAGGAAAACTAGTTTTTGCTCAGTGACTATACATATTGAATTCTTTCTGGATGTTTGAATTTTAAATATAAAGTGACAGCCCTAAAATGTATGTATCACATGTCCCTTCCCTCGTTGTTGTCTCAATCTTTGTAGAGCCATATGAAAGCATTAAGGTGGGACTGTGAGAGTGAACCAAAGCAGTAAAGATCAGAGCCGGAAAACCAAACGAAAGCTAAAAGACACTAAAACGCATTGTAGAGCTGAGAAAAACTGCAGATATGGATGATTATTGTATGTGGGTTCATCGTTTTCACCTCATACAGTCATTTGATCCATTGCTAATATAAAAATATCGATTAGTGCAGCTTTGAAACACTAGTAGCTAGCTATCTTACAAAGTAGAGAAGAAGGAGATGAACATAATGTTGGTTAACCTCACCTCTGTTAAAGCTGCAAAACTACAAAAATATATTTATAATGAAATTGTGTAAAATAAAAACAAATTGTAATCCATATCTTCCACTTAAATTTCTCCTTTACTAACATTAACATCAGCTTCCTGCATTGTATGACAATATTTAGAATAAATATTTGTATCTTCATTGAAGCTGTATGAATTCTTTACACACATTGCTCCAAAATTCTGCCTGATATATTCGGTAGCCTCTGAAAGTTGTCAAGCTCTTTGAGAATGCGAAATAAAGTTCTGCAGGTTTGAATAGATTTGGCTGCACAGAATAACTGTGTAAAGATAAGTTTTCCCGTGGGCACTTTAAATTTAAAGGGTTTTGTTGGTAGACATATTTGTTCAGAAACCTTTGCTTGACTCGGTTTTGATCATGTAGCGAAAATCAGCTCCGTACTTCATGTTTTTTTGTTATTCATACTTAAAGCTTTCACGCACTTTTCAAAAAATTTGAATACTATGAGAGTGCAGGATGAAGAGTTTCGACTCAGCTGGAGGCAGAGAGAGAAGAAGAAAAAAAAACAGAGAGAGAGGCTGTAAGGGAGGGAGAAAGAGATAAATTGCCCAGCAGGATCAGATTCTGAGAAATCTTACTGGGACATTGTGTTTATCTTTTTTCTTCCGAGTCTTCAACAATAAGAGAGGAGATGTTTCACTGTGAAAACGAGCTGTGGAGTAGCTTGAAGAAGAAAATAAAACACAAAAAAAACTGTTGGAAAATGAGACACAGAGAGAAAGAGAGATGCATGAAAGAAAGCAGCAAAGCTTCAGCCTGGATAGAGCTGCTATACTGGATACTGCTGCGAGGCTCTGACTATGTGTGTGTGTGTGTGTGTGTGTGTGTGTGTGTGTGTTCGTGTTCATATCTGCTCTCTGTGCTTCTGTAAGTGTCTATGAATATACACCATCCAGTGTGTGTTTTTGTGCGTGCATTTATGCCTTTAGACGTGCACATTTCTGCTTGTGTGTGTGTGCACTGAACTTTGAACGTGCATATCAGAGTGTCCTCTTTGTTTCGGCATTTGCATGCAACTGTGTAGGCTTTAATGTGAACATACTTTCATCTGTGTGTGTGTGAGTGTGTGTGTGTGCGTGTGTGTGTGTGTGTGTGTTTGTGTGTGTGTGTGTCTGTGTGTGTGTGTGTGTGTGTGTGTGTGTGTGTGCTCTTTACTCTGAATTATAAACACGTGACTGGGTTGAGCATGATGCATTCAGCCAGAAATCCCTCAGGTCGTTGTGGAGCTGAAGTGTTACTACAGAGCTGCAGAGAGGGAGAGAGAGAGAATCAACCAGAGAGATAGATGGAAAATAGACTGGAAATAATAATCTGATCCACATGCACATGTTTTAGTTTGATTTTAATTCATTCTGGGTAAAAAGGAGAACGGCTCAGAGGGAAATGGATGCAGCTGTGGCTTTATAAGACACTCAGATGACATTTTTCACCTGTTTGGTCCCTAAAATGTTGTAAATTGCAAATATTTACATGAGTCAGGATGCAGACTGAGGTCGTCAGTGGAAAGTGGTCAAAATGGATGAAAACCGCATCAATAAAACAATTACTAAAGCAGCTGTTAGGTAACTGTAACTGCAAGAGCGATTATGTTTTCCCTTCTTTTCCTTACCTCACAAAGTCAGACCCTGGCAGGCTCAGTTTTTAGCCTGAAAATCGTCCTCTGAGAATCATATGAGCCCAGGAGCAGGACTGAAACAGTGCTTTGATGTCATTCACTGTCTCCCAAAACCCCCAAACCTTGTGAATAAAGCTCATAATATTTAGTAAACTTTCAACTAGATTTTGCGTCCGCACAAATCCTAATGGTTGTGTTTTCTGGTGGAATGAGGAAGAGCCTGAAAGCCTCACCACAGTCACTACTGCCACACTTAAGAGAAAACATAGAGGAAATGAGACAGACAATACTAATGAGCCTTTGATCACGTCTGTTAAATGTGTCATGTAATATGTATGTAAAATAGTTCATGGTGCAGATGGTATTTTAAGAATGTTTTTCATCTATATTTTTTTCTATGTTTTATTGACGATTTCCTGCCTTTTCTCTTAAAAAACATAATTTATGAGCAGATATTCAAAATCAATGTTCTGGCTTCAAAATGAAACATGATTCCCCAACTGGGTTTTCTATTTTACTTTGTATTATTCAGAAATTGATTTTTGCTGGATAATTTGGAAGAAATTCTAATTTTGGCTTTTTCAAATTTCTGTTAGCCCAGTCAGAGACACGTTTGTCCTGTCCAGTGTGTGAAGAGTTCATGTCGATGTTTCAGTTCGTTACAGGAGAGAATTTGTCAGGTTTAACTTCGATCCAAAGTCATTTTGGTGAACACCCACTGATGATGCTCTCGATGCTCACTGAGCCAGAGAATTGATAAGTTAAAGGAAGATGACCATGGGACTAGGGATGATGGGAGGATCATAGTCTATAATTCAGACTGATCTATTTAAAATTGTGGTTCTGCAATGCCTTTTTTCTCTGTAAAGAACAATCCTTTGTTTCATTGGCTCAAGGTCATAGATAATGAATCATGAAACACTTACAAGCGGATAGAAGGAACCAAAATGAGTTGGGCTCAGCCTTAGAGATAGGGTGAGGTGCTCGGACACCCTGAGGGAGTTTTGAGTAGAGCCTCTGCTCCTTCATGTGAAAAGGAACCTGTTGAGGTGGTTCGAGCATCTGAAGGATGAGTCCTTGGTGCCTCCCAGTGGAGGTATTGCAGGCTCGTCCAATTGGTAGAAGACCCCGGAGCAGGCCCAGAACATGCTGGAGGGACTATATATCTCATCTGGCCTGGGAACGCCTTGGGATCCCCCAGGAGGACCAGGAAAATGTCACTGGGGAGAGGGACGTTTGGGATACCTTGCTTGGCCTGCTGCCACTGTGACCTGACCCCAGATTAAGTGGTTGAAGATGGATGGATGGATCATGTAGCACCTTGTTCAAATCAGGCTGCAGCTTCGACATTTCTAGGTCAATTCACTCAGTCAGAAACCTTCCCAGTGTCACACTGGCCACCGGGCATTCTGGGACAAATCCCGGTGGGCTGCTGCATCAGCAGGCTGGTATACAATCAAAAAAATCCATAAAGTTTTTCCCAGTGCTGTCAGTCTTTTTACCCTCGCTGTGTACCTGTCATTCAGGGTCAATGGACAAATCCAGGACTGAATTTCTTTCCCCGTCCAACCCTGAACCTTCATAACCAAAACCAGATTTTTAGCCTCAGTT